AGGGAACGAGACACTGTGTCCTCTAGGTTTCTTGCCATGCTGCGGACGCAAGCTTCAGACGAAGAAGTGAATGATGTGTAGCTCCCGGCACCTATTTATACTATAGTCGCACCCGTAGTGACGTCATGGCTGTCGCAGGCCAACGAGTTGGTGTTTTTTCAATGTATGCTTCAGACACGGGTCACGACGAGGCGTTCCCCATAGCGACCCCTAGAGGACACAGTGTCTCGTTCCCTACTCAGGGAACCATGGTTACATAAGTAACCTGAGACATATTCTTTAAACCATGACAAGATTAAACATTATGTACTTTAACTATTAAAACATGATGTACTTTAAAGTACAAATTTGACATCATTACAAAGTGAACTTAAGAAACAAAGTCATAAAACTGTACTTACTTTAAGTACACTTAAGTGGCCTTTTATTTCATTAATTTATTATCTGGAAGTACAGTTTTAAGATTTGAAGTACACTACAAGAGCACATGCAATACAATTAAGCACACTTCTTTTTCAAAAGGGTATGGGTGGTAAGGACTCGTTTTATGAAGATGAACAGCATCGCTTCCCATTCACTTTCATTTCATGAGAAACAGAAGCTTGAACATTCTGCAAAAGTTCTGCCTTTATGTTACACAGAATTTTCGGTTACACTTTATTTTAAGTTGTCCTTGTTACAGTGTAATAATATATTTAAGTACTGAGTAATATTATTTAACTAAATGTACTTACTATACGGTTAGGGTTTGAATTAGGCTTACTTGCATGTAATTATGCATAATTAATTGTTATTATAATAGTAAGTACATGTAACATGTGTAACAAGGACACCTTAAAATAAAGTGTTACCGAATTTTCAATTTGCCTCAATCGTTCTTTTACTGAAATGTGTTTACACCAAACTAATTTCCTCAAACTTCACATAATGTGTACTTACAGTGGTGGACAGATGTGACAAGGCTTTAATATGCAGCAGCTCCTCATAAATGATCTCCAGGTCATCTACTGTCCTCTGGCCAGGCCTGCAGTGACAGGCAGAGAGGACACTGATGTCAATGATGACTCTGAAACTTATTCTGACATTTTAAAATGTTTTGTCCTGGTGCAGACTTTACATCCTCCAGGACCTTTAAAAGGTCTCTCTTTCAGTTACAGCATGCATATAAAAGTCTAATCTGCCTTTAGAGACTTTCAGACGATCAGAATTGTGGGAAAGTTCATAGGAAAGCAGCCAAACAGTAGCAGATATAGATCAGATCACTCAGACGCACTTCTCTTAATAACCCAAAGTCTTCTGGGGGACGTAACAGGCTGCTGCTTCTGAGGGAGAACCTACTGTTTACTCAGGATCATTCGCAGATGGGCATCAGGTCCGATCTGAGAGAGGAGCAGGAGGGTGTCCTGTAGTTCTTCATCACTCTCTTTCTTCTCCTCCTCAGTGGGGAGGGGTGCGTCCTCTGTCTCATCGTCCAGGAAGCGATAAAACAGATACTTATCTTGGAAACTCAGCTCCTGGTCCACTGCAGCGAAGCACAGAACAGGAGACACACAGAACAAACTGGTAATGAAGACCAACATCTGTAGTGTGAACGCTTGAGCTCTTGTGTGGCTCATTCTACACTCTCTGAGAAAAAGGGGACAAAAGCTGTCACTGGGGTGGAACCTTTTCAAAAGGTACAAATATGTACCTTTATGATAGTAATATGCACAGTTGTAGTTGTACCCTTTGAAAGATACCGCCCCAGAGACAGCTTGTGTCCCCTTCTTCTAAGAGTGTAAGGAGAAATGATCATCTGCATTATAGATGCAATTAAGAGCTCCCACAAACTGTGCTCATGTGTTATGCTGTAAAGTCACAAGTATTTATATAGCGCTTTATACAATACGGATTGTTTCAAAGCAGCTTCACATGAATAAAAAGGAAAATAACAATGTTGTAAAATTCATCAATTACAAAAATACTTCACTTTCAACTGTAAAGCAGCTCTACAGAAGGCAATAGTGTCATTATTCAGTTAATTATTTAGTTCAATATTGTTTCAAGTTCAATAATTGTTCTGTGATTTACTGCATTAATCAATGACTGACCTGCATGTAATGGGTGATTAACCATGTACACTACCCTTGAGCTTAGTAAGATTTTTTTTTTGTTTTTGAAATAGCATAAAAAATTATGCTCACCAAGACTGCATTTATTTGATTTAAAATACAGTAAAAACAATAATACTGTAAAATATTATTTCAATAAAAAAAAACTGTTTTCAATTTGAATATATAGTAAATAGGGATGTAACGATTAACCGCGAGCCGGTTGAAAATCGATTAAAATACGTGACGATTCAAATCGGTTGAGATGCTAAACAAATCGCGATTCATTTAGGGGTAGGAGTTTATATGAATGCATGTCTGAGGGGAACGTACGGTCTTTTGAAAAGTTTAGATGGTATTTTTTTCTTTTCCTCTTGCCTCTGTATAACGCACATTAAAGTTTATAAGCGCAGCGCTGCTTTGTTTACAGCAGAAACCAGGAAACGCTTTAAGCGCCACCTGCTGACAGAGAGTGAATCTGCGTCAGCACATCATAATTAATCCAATAATAATAATAATGGCATTTATAATTATTATTATTATTATTATGTCTTACTATACACTTACTACACTTACCTGTATGTTTTCAGGTGGTACTTCCTGTCTCTGATCATGTGAGGTGCTCTGAACAGGATGGTGTTTCGTAACACTTTACCGGCCTGCAGGATCTTTTCTGATGGCACCTGAGAGACAAACAGAGAGAGAGAGACGGGCATAAATCACTCTATACACAACACATAATGTATAATGTCACACAACTCAACACTGTGACTGACAGCTGTCAGACTGATAACAGGATGGCTGTAATACCTGAGTAATGGATTCGGGGTGAAGTTTGGTGGGACTCTGAATGAATGATTTCTGGAAAACATTCATGGAAAAGGATGGGGATGGGGATGAGGTGGATGCGGGACCTTTAGGTTTATTCTTTAGTCTTTTGTTAACCTTTATACAACACAGTGAAATATTGGCAGACAGTGTTACTGTATATTGCTGCTGGGTGACAGAGTAAACTGTAAAACTCTTCAATAATAAATGACTGCTTTCTGTGAAATATTCAGCCAGACTGACTCCATATATAAGGTAAAATGCATAGTGAGCAATATCATAACATCTCATTTGCTGAGGCATGACCTTTCTACAAAGAATTTACAATATCAGGACTCCACTAGCTTTGAATGATAGTTTAGTGCAGGAGATTCAATAATTAAATGTCACCCTCTATTTAAAAAAATTAAACATGACATAAAATTGTGATACTTGGAAAGCAACATTTGCACATGGGGAAAAGACAAATAAATAATCTCCACGTTTACCCTTAATTTCTATTTTCACACATTCATTCATTCATTCAATCAATCATTCATTTGTTTGTTTGATCATTCATTCATTCATCCATTAATTTACTTTATACCTTTATGATTTCATCATTAATATATTCATTTAATTACTGTTTCTTTCACGTGCCACACAATTTTGGCAAGTAAATATTGGTTGCAAACATGCTTTGATTACTCCTTTGAAAGTGAAGATTTGTCATAACAAACCCACTAGCATTAATATCAGAACAAATGTCATCACGAGCAGCTTGTGTAGAATTCTGCTGATGTCCAGCTACTCTCTTCTCATATTACATAATAATGCATGTGATCGTGTCATACTGCAGTGTTTCTCAGCGCTTCGGGCAGCAGGCACGTCTGGGGCTCTGCTTTCCCTCCTGCCGCTGGTCCAGGGCCAGTGTGCTGCATTTTTAACCAAACCGTTTACATTATTCATGACCGTCCTCAACCAGACTGTACATCTACAGCAACACATGACCCACAATCAAACTCCACAGTGATTATTACTAGACACACTTCACACTGCTTCTATCAATCTGTAAATGTGTTTCTGTGACGTATGAGTCTTAGGTGCAGTTTTGCCAGCAAAAATATCACACTATAGTGTGAGCAAATAGTAAGAATGGCGCCGCACACGGCCGCCTCAGTGCTTGGCTTTCCAATGTTTGTACTGTTTTTGTTCATTTTTCCTGTTTTTTGTTTGATCTTATATATATATATACTGTATATATATATAAAATGAAAACACGCTTCCAGAACTCAGAACTTCTTCCCAGTTCAAAAAGACCATTAACTGAAACGGAGAAGTAAAAATATCTCAAAATTATTTCAGTTCCAAACAAACACATTCTGTCGGCAGTCCAGCCAAGCTTCTCTAATGCAGAGCTTAACTCGCGCAGAACAGACTGTGAGCAGTATTAACAGTGAACTCATCCAAGTTCGAATCAATTTGCGCGTGTCAGCTGAGCTCTTCAGCATCTTACAGCATGATTTGCACACTTCCTTCATTACATAACGATTCTGTACATCCTGAGACGGATTCTGCCTTCTGTTAACCAAAGCCACAAACACACTTAAGTGAATAAAAACGACACCATTATGCAAATCGCAGAGACTCTGCTGTGGCCGATATTGATCGCCTGCCTATTTGGATGCATCTATAGAGAATTTTAAAAAAAGAAAACGGAAGAACTTGTGGCAGTAAAAATGACAGACACGCTAGCTGTCTGAGCAGTGGACGGGAAAAGACCCGAGAGGTCAGAGGAACAGGAACACATACACAGAAATGAGAAAGAGAGGATGCCAGAGCTGCCCAGTTGGTTTTACATTTCAAACAAATGTATTCTTGTTCTGTCGAGGAGATGGTGGGAAGGAAGGATGTAGTTATATCAGAACTGACGCAAACAGGAGAAATAACAAGAATCAAACTCTCTCTGCTCATTAGGTGAGTCAAGCACCGTCTAAGATGGACCTCAAGGAACTTCTCATGAACAGACTAGGAGAAATTCATTTCCTGTGCACATTTTTGGACATTGTTTATTTACAAAAGAGAAGCTGAAGTTGTTTCAGTATTAGTTTTACGTCCTGGTGTCAGGCATGAAGACAGTTTGTATCAGATTTAACAGTACGTTCATAAAATCAAAGGTTCCAAAGGTGTGGAATAATTTTTTAATTCTTAAAAAGAAGCATTATCTCTTAGTGTGAAGAACTACGGAACTTTCGACTATAAAGAAGCGTTTGTGGAATGGAAAGGTTCTATGGATGTTAAAGGTAGATGCCAAAAAAGAAACTTTATTATAGTACTAGATTATTCTCAAACCACTTCAAAATAAGGCCAAAAAGAGTTTTTATGCAGATCAAATTGAGCATGCACAGTCCTACACAGCGATAATGTAATATATACCTTGGTCAGTGTAGCACCATATTTAATTTTTGACAAGAATGAAAACAAGGCTGTGAGGGATAGATGCACAGTGTCTTGCATGCTAATAAGCAACTAGCTAAGAGTGAAAAGTGTTCCCTACTCTTAAAGGGATAGTTCATGCAAAAATTTAAATTTGATGTTTATCTGCTTATCCCCAGGGCATCCAAGATGTAGGTGACTTTGTTTCTTCAGTAGAACACAAATGATGATTTTTAACTTTAACCGTTGCAGTCTATCATGTTACCATTGCCATGCATTATATGACTGATAGACTGCAACGGTTAAAGTTAAAAAATCATCATTTGTTTTCTACTGAAGAAACAAAGTCACCTACATCTTGGATGTCCTGGGGGTAAGCAGATAAACATCACATTTTAATTTTTGGGTGAACTATCCCTTTAAGTGTTTCCCATATTTTGAAGATATTTTATTGTCATTTTATTGTGCTTTCTGGAGCTCAACAGCACTAAAGACATGAGGGTGAGTAAATGAGGATGACAGACTTTTCATGACAGATACTGACCTCAGATGGTCACGATTTTGGACAGAAGAGTGAACGTGGCCTGACTGAAGAGATGAAAGAGACATAAGATTAAAACAAACCTTATTTAAGTGTTTGGATGATGATCCGGGAGAACTGTTGTTCGGATTGTCTTTGTCAGGCATTCCTTGTGAACAAATACAAAAAAAATTATTTTGTGATAAATACAAAAGATAAATATTGAGCAGCATCATTTAGTCAAGGCAAGAGTAAAATGTATCGACGATACAGATTCAGCAGAAGTGATAGTTAAGTAAGAAGATTAAATATAGTGTGTCTTCATGGGGCTGCAGGATGTGTGTAATCTTCAGTGATGGGTCCTGAGGGGCTGCGGGGAGCATTGCACACATTACAAAAGCTTTCTGCTTCAGGAACAATAACTCCAACACATCACTATTTATATACATCGAGAACATCCGACACTTACTGAACTACACACATCAGCATAGAAATCTCAGACAAAAAGAACAATCTTAAAAGTTTAAAACATGCTAGTTCACTTAAAATGATTTTATACAGCACCTTATCAGCAAAAAATTATCTTCTTATCAAGAGCGGATGCAATGTGCCAAGCTTGATTATGCAGAAGCACAAACGAAGAATAAGAGTTACAGCAGAGGGGAATGAAAGACATACACTACACTACTGGTCAAAACTTCAGGGTCAGTAAGTTTTTTATTTTAAATAAATTGATCGTTTTATTAAGCAAAACATGCATTAAATTGATTAATGTGACTGTAAAGACACGTATAATGTTGCAAAAGATTTCTATTTCAAATAAATGCTGTTCTTTTTCATCAAAGAATCCTGAAAAAAAAATGTATCCACAAAAATCTTAAGCAGCACAACTATTTTCAACATTGATAGTGATCAGAAATGTTTCTTGAGCAGCAAATCAGCATATTATTATAATTTCTGAAGGATCATGTGAGTCTGAAGACTGGAGTAATGATGCTGATAATGCAGCTTTGAAGACAGGAATAAATTATATTTTAAGATATATTCAAATACAAAACAGTTATTTAAATTGGAATAATATTTCACAATATTACCATTTTTTTCTGTATTTTTTGATAATAAATAAATGCAGCTTTGGTGAGAACAAGAGACATGAAAACATGAGAAAATCTTACCGACACCAAACTTTTGGTGTATGTTCTGGTATTGTTCTCACAAAAAGCTATTGTATGACTTCAGAGGAAATTTAACGAGCACATACGTTACTGTATATGATACTTTCAATCTGATTTTTGCTTGAATCTTTACAGATCTTCATCACAATATGCTTTAGTTTTATGGGGGGGAAAAAGAGTTCGGAAATTCGGCAAAACGTATCTTCTGTGCTCCACAGAAGAATGAAAGTCGCACATGTGTGGAACAAAAAATGACAGCAGAATTATCATTGTTGGGTGAACAAAGCCAAGTATTTGTACTTACTGTCAGCATTTGGGCCGCTCTCCATAACACCATAGGGAGGGACCAGCAGACCAGCCATACACTGACGATAATTCTGAAAGATACAAACACTCCAGTCACATATGAGACGTGGCACAGAAACACTGAAAAGAAACCAAGAAATTAATAAATCACTTAAAATACATACTGTAAATAAAATAATGTTAACATGAAACTAAATTTGACCCCAATTACTAGGTACGTACTCCTGGTCTTTTCGTGCAAGCTTCATCAGTAATTCCAAATCAGTTATTCCAAAAAATGTTTGTCTTCACAGTCTTTCAGCAAAGCTTTCCTTTTTTTCTTGCTTCACAAATGTTACTTTTTCAGCCCTTCTCTGCTAATCACTTGCTATACAGAAACATTTCTTATGATCCAATCAACTCCTAATGGATAAAATCAAGTCCTGTCCTATTTTTTGGTTGGATATCCCATTTCATTTCAGAACGTGGAGGTAAATGGCTTGTGAAAAAGATTTCTTATGGGTAAAAGAGTTGGTCATATATGAATAATATATGCAGACACGCACGAACACACACACACATACACACACACACACACACACACACATTTGCTCAGTGATGTAAAAGCTATAAGAGACATCACTAACATGAGCTTTGAGTAACGGTACACATCATACACACATGAAAAACACCATAAACCTCATCCCCCAGCTGAGTCTGCTTCCTCTCAAGGTTTTTCTCTTTAGTGCCTAAACATCCAATGAAATTTCTTGCCATAGCCACCTAAAATCTAGTTTAGCCTTAGAGTTGCAGCCCAGAATGATGGACTCATCTGAGCACAAATAAGAAAAGCAGTACCAGAGGAAGAGTTTGAAGTGCCGTCCGTAAATAAGGTCACACACATAGCTTATGATATACACACACTTAAAACATTTCAAATACTATCACAGGTACCACCTCTTATAGTATACAGTTCACCGGTAGTCTTTCATACTATACGCAATGCATTTTTATACCTTCATCATACATGCCTTCATTAATATAAAAACGCTAACTTCGCAATGTTCAAGATAATAGACTTAAAAAGACTTGAAAAAGAGTGCTTATTACAGAAATAACAATTTAAAAGAATATACTGAAGTGTGAACTGAATGTAACATTTTTGGACACTTAATTACATGTTAATTCAATTTAAATGAAAATGTATTATTGTTTAAATGTTTATTAAATACTGTACATTTTTGACCCACTTGAGTAAGACTTAAGTACATTTTATTTGTAATTTGATATTTAATTCTATTGTCTTTGAAATATGGATACTAAGTGTAATGAGTGTAGAACTGAATACAGACGAGCATTTATAGTAAATTAAAATCTACTTTTATGTCATTTCTATTGAAAATTGTATGTCATGTATTTAAGTATATTTGTAATTACACATTTCAAATAAAGATGCATTTTACTACATTTAATATAAATATAAACTCTGAACGTAATACTGAATAACACTATAATTCTAATAAAGTCTTTTACATGTGCTTTAGTATATTACTCAACAGTTTAAAATGTGCACTTCTTTAAAGCATGACAACAGATAAGTAACAACGAGTCAGAGTTGGGATCCCTGTGCAGCTTTATTAATAAGTACTCAAAAACTAATAGGTAGAGTTCAATCACCCGTGAAATGGTAATGGTAATGTGACCCATGGAATTAGGAAGGTCAGTGACGAAATCTATGGCAATGTGTGATCAAGGGCGTTGTGGGACCGGTAATGGTTGTAGCAGTCCAGCAGTTAGTTGTCGGGAAGATTTAGAGATATTACAGGTAGGGCAGTCATGAATGAAGGTGATAGTATCTGATTGTAAAGTGGGCCACCAGAAGCAACTGGAAAGAAATTGGATGGTGTCGGCGATACCGGGATGGCCGGAGTTGGGGGTAGAGTGGACCCATTGAATAACCCGTTGAATGAATGAATCGTTCCTTCAGATGTTGAAAGGCCTTTAAGGCTGCCGGAGACCAGGAGAAGTGTTGTGTGCCCCCCCCACCCTTGCTGCAATAGTGCTGAAATTATTGATAATGCGTCTGTAGAATTTAGCGAACCCCTGTAGTTCCTTGATTGAGGAGGGCTGAGTCCACTTCAGTACTGCCTGAATCCACAGCGACTCCCTCTGAGCTGATGATGTAGCTGAGGAATGAGACAGCAGGCTGATGAAATTCACACTTTGCTTTGGCGTACAATTGATGTGATATCAGACGTTGCAGTACAGATCTTACATGTTGGACATGAGCATCAAAGGAATATAAAGCAATATAAACTATGACCCATCGATTTAGCATGTCTCGGAACAAGTCGTTGATGAAGGCTTGGAAGACTGAAGGACTACTGACCAGCCCGAACGGCATAACCAAGTATCCATAGTGCCTTGATGTGGTGGAGAATGCCATTTTCCATTTGTCACCCTCACGGATTCGAATGAGATTGTATCCACTGCGGAGGTTGAGCTTGGTGAAATACTTGGCAGTGCTGAACTGTTCAAGGGCTGCTGGAATTAGAGAAAATAGGTAATGGAACTCGATGCAAGGACATAGTCCCCCATCATTCTTGCTTATGAAGAAAAACCCGGCAGAAGCCGGAGAGGTACAAGGTCGGATGAAACCATTAGCCAGTTTCTCTTCAATGTAAGATTGCATGGACTCTGATTCCAGTTGTGATAATGGAAAGACTCTGCCTTTAGGAGGTGTTGTGCTGGGTAGGAGATCAATGGCGCAGTCACTAGAGCAATGAGGTGGAAGTTGAGAAGCCTTAATCTTACTGAAAGCCTCGGCCAGGTCGTTATATTCTGGTGGGAGACTGGGAATGGAAGAGGTTTCCAATAGTACAGCGCCTACGTGCACAGTTTTTGGGGAATAGTTTGAACACACTGTTGGAGACAGCAGTCGGACACACAGGGTTATCTGTTTCTCAGTCCATGAAATTTGTGGATCATGCATTTGTAGCCAGGGAAGTCCAAGAATCACGGGGTTCTGAGGTGACTGAACGAGGAATAGACGAATGGACTCTGCACTTAGGAGACCCATCGAATTTCTCAGGAAAAGCCAAGCGAGGACTGGCCGTGGCGGAGGTTGATGTGGAAGTAGTCAGTAAAGGATTAGGAGGCGGCGTGCTCGTGTCAGACGAGGGGAGACGGAAGGATTGCCATAAATTGAAATGTCAGCCACAGAAAAACAAGACTCCACAATGAGTGAGAGATTGAGAGCTGCTTAAATAGTCCCGGGAATGAGGTGCAGGTGTGCAGGTAATCAGTCCCACGCACAGCGTTGTGGGAATTGAAGTCCGGAGAATGGTCAGTACTCAGGTGATGGAGCCCTCTGGTGGTGATCGGAGGGAGCCACAGAGGCTTGATTTGTGACTAGATCATTAAAACATAATGATTTAAAATGTACTTTAAAACGTTTTTGACGTTATTACAAAGTACAATATAAAAAGTGCACCTATAGTGTATTTAATGAAATAAAAGGCCACTATAGTGAACTTAAAGACATGTTTTCATTAATTTTATATTTGCAAGTATTTTTTAATGTACTTTTAAAATATGATAGGTACATTAAAAGAGCACATTCAACACAATTAAGCACACTTCTTTTCCACAAAGGATAAAACATTTCACCAAATTTGGGTTTGAAAGGATCTAATTTAGTCATGTTTCCAGTGTTCTACAATAGCAAGTTATTAAGAAATATTACTGTATTTATTGTTTTTTTCCCTTTCTTGAATATATATATTTTTTTTCTTTAAGAAATATGTTGCAGAAAATAGGATGATAATAAGAGAGCACACAGTTGAGGTTCCTCAACATTTCAATTAACATCAATAACTGACATCAAATTCTACAGACAGATGGACAGATCGAATCAAGTATTAAAATTGTATTATTAAAAGTTATTATTAATAAAAATGTTAAGTATTAAAAGTACTCTTGTGTGAACAACAGATTTAAACAGACATCTCCAGCATGATGAAAAAAAATTAACAGAGGACTTCAGAAACGAAACTCCAAATGAAAACCAAATTTCTATGAAATCCTTTTTTAAAGCAAAAGTAAAGTGCAACATTGAGTGCAAGAAGCCAGTGTCCATCTCATGGTCCAAATCACTGAAATCAAAGTTCAGTATTATAGTGTAAGAATGACAACATGCCCACGTGTTCTGGTCTACTAATAATAAAATATTATAATTAATAATACATTTTTGTGGTAATAAAAATCGATGTAGGCTAAGTGAACAATAGCCTTTAAATTTACTTAAAATACATATATAATAGCAATAAGGCAATAATAATTAGTTCAAATAAAGTATCAAAAGCAAGAAATCATATGGTTTTATTAAACAAAACTGTTAAAATACTGTATTATAATGTAATAGAGACACTGATCTATATATAATTATACAATAATATAATCTAATTTCTATTATAGATCAGTGAATAGAGTTAATGTACAGTACGCATTACAACAAAGGCCTGCAGGGGGCGCCAATGGCCTGACGATTGTTTTTACACATTACTGTGCGATCTAATACGTGTTTAATATTGACCAAGCATCATTTAATTCAAATGTCCACTTAATCTTTAATATTTGGCCATTTCTTTACGACAGAAATGCTATAGCCACTTTCATTTAATGAATATGTTGACATCAAAACGTGTAAACTCAGAGTGAGGGTTTTAGCTTTTATTTAGAAACCGCGAGATAATGATGTATTCTCCTGTGTTAATACTGTATTATAATGTAATAGAGACACTGATCTATATATAATTATACAATAATATAATCTAATTTCTATTATAGATCAGTGAATAGAGTTAATGTACAGTACGCATTACAACAAAGGCCAATGGCCTGACGATTGTTTTTACACATTACTGTGCGATCTAATACTTGTTTAATATTGACCAAGCATCATTTAATTCAAATGTCCACTTAATCTTTAATATTTGGCCATTTCTTTACGACAGAAATGCTATAGCCACTTTCATTTAATGAATATGTTGACATCAAAACGTGTAAACTCAGAGTGAGGGTTTTAGCTTTT